GACGTGATCTCTGCAGTCCAGTGGAAACCAGCATTTTTAGGAATCCATAGCTACAGAGTGCCTGGATTAATATATGCTAGCAATTATTACCCTAGCCAGTGATGGCAAACCTTTTAGAGAATGAGTGCCCAAGCTGCAACCCAAAACCCACGTATTTATCACAAGTGCCAACACTGCAATAAAACCTGAAAACTGAGGTTTTAGTTTAGAAAAAAACAACTCACAGCCAGTCCAAGCAAATAGAGAGATATATCCTTGGCAATGCACTGACTGACCATGCAAAAGCTTGGATGAGTGGCGGCTAATGAGTCGCGACTTGTGACGTCGTTGCCTGGTGCCGCTACTCCTTTCTGAGCATGCGCATGGCCCCCGTGTACGCTGTGATCCGATGCTCGGCTGCTGGGGCGATGCTGGGGCGACCTGGCTCGTGCGCCAACAGAGAGGCTCTGCATGCCCGCTGTGGCACGCGTGCCATAGGTTCGCCACCACTGCCCTAAGCCATGAAAAGATTCCTGCAAAAAGACTGGCATGGCTAATACATTGCCCCTAGATGATCGGAAGAAGTTTTGATGCGCTGGAGGCAGGTGTGGGTGACCAGTGGTTTGGCCTACAAAAGTCACCTATGGAAGCTGGAGCTGTGTATGAAATTGCAGTTTTGTGGTACAAACACCTGAACGTGTACAGGAAGCGTCTCGGCAACATTTCCAGCACTGGTTGTGGTGGCATCCCCTTAAAAGGCAACGCTGGACTTGGGTTCAGATCAGTGATGGGGAGCTTTATTTTCCCATGGAAAATCTTCCAGTGCACAAGTCCAGTAATAAAAGGGAAGGAGCACTAACTGCAAATACATTAGGCAAGCTTCACAGCTGCAATTCATGTTTTTCAGGTAATTATCCCTAAAAAGTATGTAAAAAAATACATATATGTCACTGAAATGCATACCAGTCTCACAGAGAAATAAACCTAAGAGATAGTGACCGGAAGCTGAAAGGGCGCATAAAAACCTCTGTGGAACAGAGTTCGACGCTGCTGAAGATGATGGGAACCTCTCAACATAACCATGCACTGTTGTTAAAATGTACGAGTTTTCAGTGTGTTCACTTTCTTCTTAAATGTAAACAATGTAAGAATAATGCATGCTATTGCCTTTAAATATATTCTGACACAAATATCTACATATTTGCGGGAGAGGCTGTGCTACAGGAGCCCTCTTTAAAGGAGATAAAAAGAACAAATACCCAGAGCACGGCCTTCTCTGTAGTGGTGCCCAGATTATGGAATGCATTCCCTGGAGAGGTGCGCCTGGTGCCGAGTTCATATTCTTTTTGGTGCCAGGTTAAAACCTTTTTATTTAATTGCTATTTTAAAACTTAATATTTTACCATTAACCATCGCTTTTTTGTTTTTATATGATGTTATGGAATTGTTATTGTTTTATTGGCTTTAATTGTATGTTTGTGAGCAGCCCTGAGATGCTGAGGCATGTGGTGACGGCATATATAAGTTTTAAATAAATAAATAAAATAACCTGTAAGGCCCCAATTCTTTGCGTGCTTAGACAGAAAAAAGGGTCAACATCTCCCAACACGCTCCAGCCAGCCAGCCAGCCATCCTGAGCCCAGAATACCAACTGCTGTAGGGCTTTTTCTGCCGAAGCACGCATAGGATTGCACCCTAACCATGCTTCCCCTTATTTCCTCAAATATTTCAAGCCAACCCTTGTGGTATCTTGAGACAAACATTAATATAGGGTGCTTCTGTTATTTACTAAATACAAGCAAAATGAGCATGCTAATCACTCTAGGGCTGAGATAGGAATCGGGTGGCCTTCCAAAGGTTCTGTGTCTGCTCCAGCCATGAAAGCCTAAGGAATTTGCAGCCAAGACTCCTGGAGAGTCAGATTGCCCATACCTGCTCTAGGGCATCAGAACATTTTGATATGTAAGTTGTTTTATTTTTCATTGGACTTTTTTCAAATTTTCAGTTTTTTTCAGAAAACCTACATCACTGGTCTCGTTTTTACAAATTTATAATTGTATCTCAGCTTTGCTTCCTCCTGGACTCATCCAAATGTGCTAAATGTTTGATGAGAGTGCTGTGATCTAACACAGAAACATTCCAGGGAATGTTGCTGAAAATACTAACAATTCTGACAACCAGCTCCAAATAAGTCAGGGCCAAAATGTGACACACCAGCTGTACTCACACATGAGGACAAGTCATGCCATCATGGTGAAAAGTGACACGTACCCTTACCGTGAATCGCCATGGAGAACCAAGAGTTTGGTCTAAGATTTCTGAGAGGCAGGAGATCAGGCCAGAGGGGGACACGATCCGCCATGAGAGGCACACCCTCCCAAGACAACAGAGAGGCCCTACCATGCAAGTGGACATCTCAGCCATCCGGCCAAGCAGCACATGGGACAGGTGGGTAGGTGGGTGACCCGCCAGAGACAGGCAATACCGGCAGGAGCAGTGTCCGCTAGGTCTGGTTCCAGTTGTGGGGCCTGGCAGGGTGCGTGCCTCCCATTTGGAGGGAAGATGGAGGCATGGGGGAAGCTACTCTTGAGTAGTTTCCTCATGCATGTGTGAACACAAGACACACGGTAACGCCTTGGGATTCCTCAGCATTATGTGTAGCTATGGTTTGTGGGGGTAGAAAAAGGGGGTGGCAAACATGGATATTTTATTTATATATTTATTATATTTATATCCCGCCTTTTTCCCTTCAAAGAATTCAAGGTAATTCACATAATCCCCCCACCTCTCAATCTTGCCCTCACAACAACCCTGTGAGGTAGGCTAGGCTTAGACACAGTGACTGGCCTAAGGTCACCCACTGAGCTTTGTGGCCCAAACAGAGACTAGAAATCAGATATCCTGGATTCCAGTCCAACATCAAATGATCACTATTCGAGTGGGATTTCCCTAATCTAGACACATTCATTCCTCAGGGGAATTTATTTCTTGGGCCATTTAGGGTGCATGCTATGCATGCTTAAGCAGAAGAAAGATCCTAAAGTTTGCAGCATTCTGTTTAGGACTTTTATTTTCCTTTCACAGGAATGCACAGGATTGTACCCTGAGAGAATCCAGTGAAAGAACAAAGGGAGCAATTATGAAATATGAAAATACGTATGCAGAATAGGAATGTCTTTTTCTGCTGCTGCAGCATCCCATTTCTTGATGGGCTTTTGTGCAAAGAAAACACAAGACTGCTTGCTATTTTGATGGCCTGTTTCCAGTTTTAAAAAGTGTCAGGATCAGTGTATCTCCCCCTTGTCTTCTTTAGCTGGCCAGCTGCTACTCTATTTTGACTGCTGGCTCTCACTCACTGATTCCGAGAACAGAGCTTTGAAGAGCCCCTTCATTAATGCCAAATCTCAAGTCTTGCATGACTGATTCTGTACAGGAAACAGAATTCAACCAAGTATTAGCTGCATTCTCACTGTCCTTGTTTCAGGCTCGCTCCACTGTCATTCACACCATAACTAACATTCACCTCGCGACTTCTCTAATCCATTGATCATACAGTTTTGTAAACTTGTCATCCCTCCACGGATCCCTAAGAAATCCTTCTCCCTCCTGCACTTATTTCAATGCATCCCAGGAGGGATTCTAGAATCACCGTTGTGGTCACCAAGATTATCCTGGAATACTCAAAAAGGTTTCCGTGCCTCTTTCCCCATTACTTCCTTCGTTTATTTCTACGCCATTCATGTTTCTTCAGAAGCAAGTCCCACTGAGTTCAAACAGTGCTCTCTCTCTTGCTCTCTCTCTCAAGAAGTTGTGGCTGCAAACTTTTAGAAAACATCATCTTCACTTAACATCCTTTTATTCTACAGGCCAGAGAGAAAACACCCATTTATCTCCATAAAACTCTTGCCTGTAAATCAATACCACTTTGAGGTCATGATGCTGGGCATCACACATACACTTTTCATTATGTCTCTTCTATAGAAGAACCTTTTTATAATACCAGTCGTCGGTGGATCATGCTTCGAAACATCTACGCAGACCCAAGGGCTAGCTGAATTCTAGTCCTACTTTAACGATGACATGTTGGACAGACCCCAAACGATAGGGACGAAGTAGGATTTTTCCTTCAAAGATAAGCAAGCGAAAAACTACGATGCAGTCTGCACCCAAAGCATGATAACCAGAATGCTATTTCCACCATGGGCTAAGAATTTATTTGCTATGATGCAGGGTTAGCAGACATACAAAAATACAAATATGATCATATTATGACACTTTGACACTCTGCGAGAGTGACGCTATTCCCTTGCTCCACCTAGGAGGAGATCAACAGGAGAGAAGGGCAAAAGCCCTCTCAGCCAGGCCAGCCTACCAAATATTTGGGGTGTGCAACAAGAACCATGGCCAAAATACTAGATTTTGCAGTGGACAAGAGACTAGATTTGATCCTGGGTCCGCTTTAAGCCCCCTCACCAGCAGTGACAAGTCTGTCAGTCTCTGGAAGGAAAGACTACAACAGCGGTCGTCCTCAACCTTCGGAAAGAAGTTCCCCCCTCCAGGTATTGTTTCTCACAGGTTACCCTCGGACTCGCGCTTCCTTCAGAGTAAGCTTCCTTGAACACTAGTGAGACTCACTCCGGAGGAAACACACACCCCAAGTTTATTTTTACCCACTCCTGGCACTCTGCTTTATCTGCCCTCCAGCCATTTCAGCGGCTTAACGCAGAGCGGCTGCCTGAGATGGGTCGGCTCGGGCGACCGTCGCGGAGGACCCACGGCAAGGCAAGGCGGGAAGGGCCAGGGGGGCATCGGGGCCAACCCGCCTCCGGGCGCAGCGCAAGGCACACCAGCCCACCCCGCCAGAGGTCGGTCCAGCTTCGCCTCGAGCGTCTCCAGCGTGTGTGTTGGGGGGGGGGGGGCGCACGACCTCTCCTGGCCACCGATTTCCCCGGAGCAGCGGCTGGTTCCCGGGGCTGGCCCTGCTCGCCACCCACGTCGCCTCCCTCCAGGCCTGGACTTGCCTGATTGGGGTCGGTGGCCCGGAAGACGTGGCAGGCCATCTGCGACTCGGGGTCGTCGGGCTGCGCCTTGATCAGGTAGGCGAAGTAGGTGAGGTCGTGGCTGTTGTGGATGAAGCGCGAGATGTGCTGCGGCTTGTGCTCGAAGATGAACACGGCCGGGTTGGCCGCGCTGCTGGCCGACGGGATGCAGCGCAGGTTGGGCGAGCCCAGCAGCAGCAGCACCTCGCGCGCGGGCACGGAGCTGGGCTCGGGCTTCTGGCTGCGCCGTCGGATCTCCGCCATCAGCCACGGCAGCATGGGCAGCGTGGTGCGCCTGTCCAGGCACGCCCAGCCCACGTACCACAGCTTGAAGCGCTTCTCCCCCGCCGCCTTGCCCGCTGGCGGCTCGGCGTCGGGCTCCAGCGGGTGGGAGAACGGCTCGTCGGCGCCCGGCTTCTCCATGAGGCCGGCGGCGGCGGCAGCGGCGAGCGGCGGGGTCAGAGCCACGCTTGCCGCCCGCGGGGCGGCCTGGCTCTCGTGGGGCGCCCGCGCCGCTGCCCGACTCGACCCTTCCCGCGGGAGCAGGTCGCGTCGAACCCCGCGCGGCTCACTTCCCGGCGCAGAGGCTCGGGCTCGGGCCGCGAGGGCGCACGCGATCCCCTGCTGCAGCGCGCGGCGCGGAGCCAGCGAGGCGGCGCGTCGGCGGCGCCCGTCCTGCGGCGGCCGGGGCTCGGCTCATGGATCCTGCCCGCGGAGCTCCCGTCCCGGGAGGGGTGCACAGCCCCGCCGCGGCCGAGAGCGCGACCCTCCCTCCGTCGCTGCGGGTCCCGCGGCGAGCCGTGCCTGTTGTTCCCGTCCGCGCCCGCCTCCCGCGCCGCCCCTCCACGCGGCCCGCTCCGCCCGCCTTCCCCGCAGTGGTTGGGCGGAGGCGGGAAGCGGCGGCCGGGCCGGGCCGGGCCGGGCCCTCCCTGGCCTGCAGTCCGCCCGCCCGCCCAGGAGCCGAGCCCGCCTCCTGCGCCCGCTCGCGACCGTCCAAACAAAGTGCAGCGCCTCCCCGCGGGGCGCCCCGGGCGCGGCCGCGAGCGCCAAGGCCGTGGCAATCCCGGCGGGCGCCTTGCGCATCCTCTGCGGGCAGCGCCAGGGAGCATGTGTGCCAGGAGCGCACATGCCCAGCAGCGGGCGCCCAACTTCCTCCCCGGCCCCTTCCTCCTCCGCGCTGGGCGCCCGGCCTCGCGGGTTTCACCCCGGGCGCGGGCCGAAAGGCGGCCGCATGGAACGGGGGTCCTCAAACTTTTTAAACGGGGGGCCAGGTCACTGTCCTTCCGACTGTTGAGGGGCCGGACTATAGTTTGAAAAAAATAGGAATGGATTTCTATGCACACTGCGCATTAAAAATTAGCTAAAATAAATTTGGCAATCACAATTTAAAAATCAATTAACATTTTAAAATGTTTGCTCCACTCCCGGGGCTGCAGCAGAAGCCCAAGATGAGGTGGGAGGGAAGAGCATGTCCGTATTCAAGGGACATCGCTACAACGCGACCAAGGCACCAAGTATTACATTTTGCATAATGCAGCTGCCGACTGCAACTGGCATTCACAAAGAATGAAGCAAAAATGCTAAGGATAAATACTGTTAATGCCACTCTTAGTATCTGAAGCGAGTCATCCCAAAACAGTTCCCACAATACACAATGGCTGTATTTGCATACAGAGCGCATGGCTACTCTATTTTAAGTACAACCTTCCCATAACTGGTACTGTCCAGATGAGTTGGACTACAATTTGCATTGGCCATGCGGGTTGGGCATAATGGAAATTATTTATTATTTATTTATTAAAACATTTCTATGCCGCCTCATTCGCCGAAGCCTCGGGGCGGCTCACAACATAAAATACAAGAAATAACAATATAAAATAAGTTGCCCTGGCCAGATAAAATAAGCAAATAATATTAACAATTAAAATGATGCTTAAATAAAAAGGTCTTAGCCTGGCGCCAAAAAACAAATAACAACGGTGCCAGGCGGACCTCTCTGGGGAGCGCGTTCCATAGATTGGGCGCCACCGCAGAGAAAGCCCTCCTCCGAGTACTCACCCTCCTAATTTCCTTCACGGAGGGTTCCCAGAGAAGGGCCTCTCCCACTGATCTCAGGGAATTATATTCCTTGCCGCCATCCCAGTTCTGAGGGAGCAGCAGCAGCAGCAGCGGGAGGCCAGAGAGGTGAGCTGGGGTGGCTCCCCCGGCCAGTAGAGGGCCACGAGGAGGGAAGTAAGGGTTTCTTTCCGTAGCGAGGGGAAGGGAGGGATGGTGGCAGCAGCGTGCCATAGAAGGCCGTGGCTCCCATGCCTCCGCCGCACCCTTCCCTGGGCAAGCGACTGCCACCGTCGAGCGGCTGACCCCAGGCTTGGTGAGGTGGTGGCTTGACCCCCAGCCTGGGGACGTGGCTCACAAACTTAAAAATGGATTTAAAAAGTTGTATTTTTCTTACCTTCAATCCTTTTTTAGTGTCTTCATCTCTCTCTCTCTTCCGCCCTCCTCTCTTCTGTTTCCCACTCAGCATCCCTGCTCTCTTTATGCATGCAATGGAGGGAGGGGGAAGAGCCAGTGCACGTGCAGTTGAGCTGTTACACTTTGGTGCATGTGCCGCCTCTCTGCTTAGTTTCAAGGAACGCCTGCACTGGCTGAGTTTTGGACTTGGAGATTCTTCTCTCCATGCCAGTCCAAACGCTCTGAGGCAGGCTGGATAAAGGAGCATGGTGGGCCAGATCTGGCCCGTGGGCTGTAGTCTGAGGACCCATGACCTACATGAAGGAGCATTTGCTAAAGCATGGCTCCTCAAACTATGGCCTGTGGGCTGGATCCGGCCTGCCATGGCCATTTATCCGGCCTGCCTCAGAGCTTTTGGACTTGCCGCACGGCGAGGCGGCAGCTTGCCCACACGAAGATAATTTTGGACTCTCTAGGAGAAAACTATCTTCGCACGCACCCGCCCTTGCCTCGCCGTGCGCACGCGCACACCCTGCCCGCCCACCAGCCTGTGCCTGCACCCGCACTGCCTTGCCAGCCCGCACCCACCCGCAGCACCTTCAACTGACCCCCTGCTGAAGAAGTTTGAGGACCCCTGTGCTACGTCAAGTATTGATTAATGAATTAGAATCAGAAATACTGGTATTACACCAAGGGACTTGACAGGGAGGCCCGTTGTCTCCTTTAATATTTGCTAAGCTCATGGAACCATTAGCTTCTAGCATAGGAATACGGATAATATTATAGGGGTAACAATTAGGAATAAGCAACACAAAATTAACCTTTATGAAGATGGTAGGTTTTTGTTTTTGAAGAACCTACTAAAACGCATAATTATGATGCATAAGTATCCCAATAACATAACAAATGGAGATTAAAGCAATATCTAGTTTAGACATGTGCAATTCTAGTTTTAAATGTTTGGGAATCGGCAAACAAAAGGTATGAATCGATTGACATATAGAATTTATGTATATGCATAATGAAATGAGATACACAGTTAGGAAATGCAATACATTAAAATTTTCATGACTAGGGAGAATTGTGGGTGTAAGAGCTTATATTCTGCCAAAATTTTAATTTTTGTCCCAAAACCTCCCATGGCCACCGGAAATGAATAAGTGAAAGTTGGGACCCAAAAAAAGAGGAAAAAATTATCTCACCAAATTGGAATAATCTAAGATTTTGAAATAGCCCAAAAGAAGAGCTGCCACTGCCATGGAGGGAGGATTTGGAATCCCACATACAATAAAATCTTAGGAAGCATGAAGCCCACCAATGAGAGCATTCCTATTTTCAATTTCTCCTCAGCTGCCATATATTCAATATATAGCACTCTTGGGGTCACATCAGCCATTTGTTGGGCTGGCATGAAGCAGTACTGATCTGTGTGGATATAATTCACTAGGAATCTGCTCGATCTTTGAGCCAAAATGGAAGAAAAAAAATATGATCTTGGTTTTCTAATGTAATAGGTGTCCTTGCAAAGCGAAGGTTAAGGTCTTTCCTTTGTTTTGCTGTGACTATTCTTCTAGATAAGTTACAAGATTTTGGTATTTTCCTCCTCCTAATATTGAGTTGTATAATTTGGACAAGTATATGGATGCACCTTCCGCCCACATTTTGTAATAGTGAATGCTAGTGATGTATCCTTTTCTGAATCTCAGAATAGCTGATCTGTTTTCTGCTACTGTTATTGGAGAGGTAAATTGTTGTTTATGCTCTTCAGAAATTGGTATAATGGTAATACATCCACAAAATTTTAAAGTTTCTCTCTCAATTCTGTTTTGTATAACTCCTCCTAATAGCAGCTCCACTTTAAGTACCACTTGGCTGCATGTGTTTTAACGTGTCTAATTTTTTCAATTGTGATTCGGTCCCCATTAGTTGTATAAAGGTTTTCTTGCAACTCATTTTCTTATGTTCTGTCAGTCTCTTTCTTTTAAAATCAACTTATTCCTGGACTCTATTTCTCTCTTTTTTAATCTAGGGCTCTCCCCTGTAAAATACCCTCTCTGTATTCTCAAGGATTGTAATATCTTTCTTTAAATGGGTAGGAAGACAAAAAGTTTCATTAGTAATAACACAGTATACATTTTATAGTACCAAAAATATAATATTTCATTTTTGGGTGAGATCCTTATGGGAACAGCGAGATTAGACATTGGGCAAATGTGGAAAGATGTGAAGGGCTTCTCCTTTCGAAGATATTTAGGAAGAGCATGGGAAATTGCAGTAATGGAGAATTTGACTAGATGGCCTAGAATCCTGAGAGGGGAAATGAAAATGGACAATTTTGTTAAACGCTCGCACCTCTTACCTTGAATATGCAATCAAATATTGAGATAAATATGCTGGATAACCCTATGGTATATTTGTGAGCTGTTTAGTACATCAGCACAATTCAGATTGTGGAATAGACTTGGAATGGAAATGTAAGTAGTAATTGTTATATAGAAAAAGTACATGCTGTAAGATGATCGTATGTTTTTGTTATTGTTCATGTTGGTCAATTTTTTCAAACAATGAAATGATATAACCAAAAGATCTATGGGGGATCCTAGGCATGTTTGGAAGAGTGAGGCTGCTATGCTTGGCCTTTCTGTAGTCTTTCCAGTAGTTAAAGAACAAATTTTTGTTCCAAAACCTCCCATTGCCACCGGAAATGAATAAGCTAAAGTTGGGAGTAAAAAAAAGGAAAAGGAAAAGGAAAAGATTGTCTCAGCCAATCAGAATAATCTAAGATTTCGAGCCAGTGCAAAAGAGAGAGCTGCCACTGCCGTGGAGGGAGGATTGGCCATCCCACATATGGTAAAGCCTTAGGAAGCCTTCCAAATGTCCTGAACTGTAAAGCTTAGACAAGTGAACAAGATCCCCGACTGAATTCCAACGGAGGGAGTACAGGGGGACCATATGATTATTTCTTATTTATGCATACCCAAACTATTGGAGCATGAAGAACAATTCAAAACCCTTCTTTCAAGGAAAATATACGAATATGGCGTAAATCTATGAAAGCTCTGGCACCACCCAT